TGCTGCGCCAGGTGACGTGCGCCCTCCCTCGCTCTCGGCGTGCCATGCATGCGCCGCGCACCCCACCCCCTCTCGCTTTCATGCCATTTATGCCATGTATGTGCAATGTGACGTTCGCCCCCTCTGTATTACAGAATCATGCAATCTGCAATTCACATCCTTGCTCCATCCAGCGTAGTGCAGAGCAGAGCAGAGCAGAGCAAGGGGCATGAAGGCACGGGCAGTGGCATGCAGCGCCTCAGCGTCCGTGTTATGAACAGCATCCATGCTTGTGCGCGGCCCCGTGCATGGCAGCTGTTCGCGGGGAGAGAGTTCTGTGTGGGCCGGGGCCGCAACGTCATCGAGTCCCAGGTGCGCCCTCCCTGCCTGCCCAGGTGGGCCCTCCCTGCCTGCCCAGGTGGGCCCTCCCTGCCTGCCCAGGTGCGCCCTCCCTGCCTGCCCAGGTGCGCCCTCCCTGCCTGCCCAGGTGCGCCCTCCCTGCCCTTGCTGCTCCTGTGTGTGACCACAAGCACACCATAAAACGTGTACACTCCACCTCCCTTTCCTCCTCCCCAAGGGCATGCTGCATGCACTCACACGCATACACGCACACCCTTGTCATCCATCAACGTCCATCACCTTCCCTCATCCCCCTCCTCTCTTGCCTCGCCCACCCCCTCATCCCCACACCCCCAACCCCCCATTTCCCCAACCGCCCAACCCACATCCCGCACTCCCCCATCCGCACCGTGCATGCGGGGCAGATATACCGCAGTGCGCAGCAGATGCGCAACTTCATCTACCTCGTGGCCGATGCGCACTCCCGAGAGGCCATTGTCGTGGACGGTGCATGGGACGTTGAGGTGAGGCGCCTTGCTGCTCTGCCGCTCTGCTGCTTTGATCAGTGCTGTGCAGAGGCTTGGTGCGCTTGACCGTGTGACCGTGTAATCACTTTCCATGCTCGCTTCTTGCGGAGGCCTGTGCGCTTTCTTGATACTTTCGGGTCCACTTTGCCGTGCTCCCCACCATTCCTGTACATGGATTCCTCGCAAACCCGCTCAACCGGTGCGCACCTCCGTTCCCATCCCCGCTCACCCACCCCACGCTCTCTGTGTGTGCCACTGTGTCATGTCGGCCAACCGCCCCCCCTTCCTCACATTTTTCGCCTCTGTGGGGTCCCGCCTCGCCTCGCCTCGCCTGGCCTCGCCTGGCAGGGCATTCTGCGATACGCAGAGGCGGAGAGAGTGAAGCTGGTGAGTGCTCTAACCCAGGCTGTGGCATGCCATGGCATGCCACTGCAGGGTGCTTTTGACTGTTTCCTTTGTATGACGCCCCATTGCCCTTTGTCTCATCTCCCTCCGTTCCCGCCCCCTTCTCTCTCAATGCAACACGAACCATCTCTCTCTTGCCCTCATCCGTGCGCCTTGCCCCTCGCCCCCAACGCTGCCCACCCTTTCCTCTCCTCAGGTGGGAGCAGTGGTAACGCACTACCATTTTGACCACACGGGCGGCATGCCACCGCCCCCCTTTGACGCGCTGGGCATCAAGGTGCCGGGGATCAAGGAGCTCGCTGCCTCGCACGGCCTCAAGGTGTGCTGCCTCTCAAGTGCTACAGCTAGCGGCCGCTGCATTAGGTGATGTGAAAGGTGCTGCAGCGCTAGTATTGTGAAAGGTGCTGCAGCGCTAGTATTGTGAACGCATTGAGCAGCACAGGCTTGGCAGCGACGCAGTCGAGTTTCAAGATTCCATGCCAGCGGACGCTTGGGTTTGGGGATGCATGTCTCGTCATGGCCCAGAAGGTGTGCCACCTCGCATGGTGAGTGGATAGTCACAAAGCTTGAGTGATTGTCACGGTTGTCATCTGTCTCGCATCCCTGCCCGCTTCTTCACCTCACCCGCCGTCCCGCTGACCCCCCACCGCTGTGGCGCTGACCCCCCACACAGGTGTTTGCCAACAAGCACGATGCGGCGCTGCTGCGATCCAAGAATGGCGTTCCCAGTGACTCCATTGTGGAGGTCCAGGTATGGTGGAGGTACGGTGGAGGTACTGTGGAGGTATGGTGGAGGTGTGGTGCAGATATGGTGGGGGTATCGCGGAGGTATGGTGGAGATATGGCTAAGGTATGGCAGAGGTATGGCGGAGGTATGGTGGAGGTATGGTGGGGATATGGCAGAGGTATGGTGGAGGTATGGCGGAGGTATGGCGGAGGTATGGTGGAGGTATAGAGATATGGCAGAGGTATGGTGGAGGTATGGCGGAGCTATGGCGGAAGTATGGCAGAGGTGTGGCGGGGGTATGGCGGAAGTATGGTGGAGGTATTGTGGAGGTATGTCGGAGATGTGGCTGAGGTATGGCAGGGCGGAGGTATGATGGAGATATGGCAGAGGTATGGCAGAGGTATGGTGAAGGTATGGTGGAGGTATGGTGGAGGTATGGTGGCGGTATGGTGGTGGTATGGTGGCATGGGATGGAATGGCAGCTTGGAATGGTATGCATGGTGTGATGCCAACACGCATTTGAGCCGATAGCGGGTGCATCTCCCTGAAAGCACTTCCCTCACCCACCGCAAGAAAGAACTGTGCCTCCACTTGTGGTGCAAGTGTGTTTCGCATCATGCTCTCCCTCATATTTTCACTAGCCTAGCATCCTCAAACCAAACCATGCATAGCTTTTGGAAAAATGGCGAACACCATGTCAGCCATTGCCAAGCGCTTTCCAGTCAGGGGTATGTGCAGCCGTGGTTGTTTTGCAATCCTTATGTGCCTCCTTGTTTGTTGTGTTTCCTGTCCGGCTCATGCCTTGTTCCGTTCATGCTCATGGTCGGTGATTGGCAATGGCGTGGCGAGGGCAGGATGGGGCGACAATAGAGGTGGGGGCGGTGTCGCTGCGCTTCATCCACACACCCGGTCACACGCCTGGTAGCCAGTGCATCCACATTGAACGGTGCGAGATGCGTTCAAGTGAATAATTGTAGAAGAATGCTGTGTGGGCATGTTACACATGCAGGTGCATGCCCCACCCATGTGCATGAATCCCATGTTCTAACACACTCGGCGCATTGTGCATACTTGCATGGGCGGTGGGCTGTGTGTTGGGTGCACATGGGTGCTCCATTACAGCCTGCACAGACACTTTCTCACACATTCCTTATCTACCACTACTGGGCGAGCGTGCACAAGCCCATGTGACGGCGTCATGCTGTCTGCGTGTTGCTTGTGCATGGCCCCTGTAAGGCAGCACGTTGGATGCATGGGAATCACTCATGACATCTAGAGGAGCCAGGCACACACGTTCAGTGCAGCGAGCACCACCCCCATGCATATGCCATCACCCCGCCACCCACATGCATATGCCGTCACCCCGCCACCCACATGCATATGCCGTCACCCCGCCACCCACATGCATATGCCGTCACCCCGCCACCCACGTATCTGCACTCTCATTCTCTTGCGCCCACCTGCTTGTTTGCTCGCTGCCTGCAGAGCGCCGGGCCATGATGACGGTGTTCTAATATCAGGAGACACCCTTTTTATCGGGAGGTAAGTCCGAAGCCCTGTCCATTTGCTGTCAGCAAGCGTCAGCACTTGTCAGCAGCGGGGCCACTGTAATCACGAAGCCCCTTCACGCACGAGCTTTAGACAAACAACTGTTTCCGCTCCAGTCCATTCTCTAATATCACCCCAATTCGCTCCACTCCCCTCATTCCATTGCAACTCGCTGACTGTGCCCTTTAAGGCACCACCTCGAGTGAGTGGGCCATGCTCATGTGGTGTGCTAGCGGAGCAATGCAAGAGTGCGAGGCCAAGTCAAATCTCCTGCCATGGGAATTTTGGGCATCACTCATGCGTGCTGCCCTCCATGCGTGTGCATCTCTGCTTCCTCTCATTCCACCCCATCGCTGCCTCTGTGGATATAATTTCGTCCCTCCCTCTTCCCTTGCTTTGCAAACTTGTTTTGAGTGAGCTCTCAATCGTGCGTCGCTGCTGCATCAAGCAGAGAGCATCAAGCAGAGAGCATCAAGCAGAGAGCACCCAAAAAACAAGCATCACCTCATCCTCATCTTGCCATTCCCACTACATGCCCCGCTTGTCCACTCTGCCGCCCGTCACAGCTGTGGGCGCCTGGACCTACCAGACTGCAATCGGGAAGCCATGTATGACAGCCTGCAGAAGCTCGCAGCGCTGCCGCCCGACACCAGGTGAGAGCAAAGTGAAGCAGGTAAAAACCTACAGCGTTCATTCGTCTTCCTTGCCGTGCCAGTCGCACCCCTCCCAGCATTGCTGCCATGTGCCCATGTGCTGCCACTCAGCACACTATGCCTTCGCCACCACCATGTACCCCGTGACCCTCACCACAACAAACTGCACCCTCTCCAACCGCCTTTCGCCTCTGCCCTGTTGTTGTGTGTGACCCACCCCTGGATGCGGTGCAGGGTGTACCCAGGGCACGACTACGGGGGAGCATTCACAAGCATTGGCAAGGAGAAGGCCACTGGCTTCCTGCGACCCATGAGCAAGCAGCAGTGGCTCGCCTCCCAGGCCAAGTGACCCGCCCTGCCTGCTCCGCCTGCTCCCACTGCTCCTACTACTTCCAAGTGTGCCCTGCCCTTGCATGCAGTTGCTGAGGGTGGGTGGGGAGCAGTGCAACGCAGGGCAGCGCTGCCACCACCATTCCAACATGCATGATGCGAGATAGCGATGGCTCCACACTCCCATGAGTGTGGGGTTCCACCCACACTATGGCGCATACCAATCCTCACCCGCACCTGTCTCTACCACTGCCACTGGTGGCTGTTCTTAAGAGTGGCCGTGCAAGTCAGCACAATGGCACCAGTGCCAAGCCAGGCAATACCAGCCCATGTGTATTTGATGTGTAGAAGATGAGTAGTGAACCATAGCTGGAGCCATAGGAAACCAGTAGTACTAGTTGTTGCCTAGGTTAACAGAGGACTTCTGCAAATATAATTACAAACACATCTACACTTCTAGGCTTTGCCTAGGCTGCTTGAACGTGGGCGCTTCTAGTCAAAAGAGAGGTGGCCTTGTTGCAGGCGGGTGAGAATGGAGTCAATGTCGCCAAACACCTCATCCTTGGAGCGGTGCCCGTTCACCTGCTCCTCACAGCGCAATGCCATGCAGGGGGGTCCATGGTGGAGGGCGGGCGCGGTGAGGGAGGTGTAGTGGAGTGGAGTGGGGTGCAGTGGCGGCGGGTATAATGGAGGGTGCAGTGGAGTTGGGTGCAGTGGAGTGGGGTGTATTGGAGTTGGGTGCAGTGGAGTTGGGTGCAGAGGAAGGAGGGCAGGATGGGGAATTGATGCATAGGCGAAATGCAGAAACTGCAGTTGTGGAATGGGACAAGTTTGAAGGGGAAGGACGTGAATGGATGCGATAGTTTAAAGAATAACCCCAGGCATTGCCATCCCATAGCCACGCCATGGCACGCAACCATCCTCTATCCAGTGTTGCCATCCCATGTGCACATCCAGCCATCCCATGCCATGCACTCTCATTCACTTCACGCCATACAGTCCCCCTCGTTCCTCCAGAATCTCAATTGCCACCTTCCGCACCGCTCTACACCGCATCCCACCTGCACGAGCTTGCCGGCGTACACATCGAGCACGCTGGCCACGTTGGCGTTGTGCGTCTCCAGCCGCGCCTTCACCTGCCCCCCACCATGCCATGCCCGCCCAGCAGCCATGCACACCCAGCAGCCACGCACACCCAGCAGCCACACACACACAGTAGCCACACACACACAGTAGCCACACACACACAGTAGCCACACACACACAGTAGCCACACACACACAGTAGCCACACACACACAGTAGCCACACACACACAGTAGCCACACACACACAGTAGCCACACACACACAGTAGCCACACACACCCAGCAGCCACACACACACAGCAGCCACACACACACAGTAGCCACACACACACAGTAGCCACACACACACAGTAGCCACACACACACAGTAGCCACACACACACAGTAGCCACACACACACAGTAGCCACACACACACAGTAGCCACACACACACAGTAGCCACACACACACAGTAGCCACACACACACAGTAGCCACACACACACAGTAGCCACACACACACAGTAGCCACACACACACAGTAGCCACACACACACAGTAGCCACACACACACAGTAGCCACACACACACAGTAGCCACACACACACAGTAGCCACACACACACAGCAGCCACACACACACAGCAGCCACACACACACAGTAGCCACACACACACAGTAGCCACACACACACAGTAGCCACACACACACAGTAGCCACACACACACAGTAGCCACACACACACAGTAGCCACACACACACAGTAGCCACACACACACAGTAGCCACACACACACAGTAGCCACACACACACAGTAGCCACACACACACAGTAGCCACACACACACAGTAGCCACACACACACAGTAGCCACACACACACAGTAGCCACACACACACAGTAGCCACACACACACAGTAGCCACACACACCCAGCAGCCACACACACACAGGAGTAGCGGCAAGGAGAAAAGCACGGTCAAGGGCAGACTCGGGACACAGCAAAAGGAGCAGAGAGTGGGGAGTGGGGAGAGCACAAGTGGACTCACAGCAGGCAAGCAGTGCATGGGCAGGTGAACGCCCACCCCACCCAGGCCTACTCATCATCGCCTCCCTCCCCACCTTCTCCTCGCTGTCATCACCCCACACCCCGCCTTTGCACCTTCTCCTCGGTGTCGTCACTGCGCTGGGTGAGGCGGGCGGCGATCTCGTCTGTCTCGGGCGGCGAGAAGGAGAGGTGGTAGATGCGGTTAGTGGCGGGGTCCAGGCGCCGCCCCACCACCCGCTCCACCAGGATCTCGTGGGGCACCTGTGGATGCATGCATGCATGCAGGGACGGGAGGGGGGGGGGAACAATGCAGAGGAAGGAGGGAGAGGGAGTGGGGGAGAGGAGAGGGGGGAAGAAATGAGGTTGTGGGTTGGCAATGAACCGGTGTAGCTGCGTAAAGGTGGAGAGGGCACCCGCTCCACCCTCTCCAGTGGGGCACTAGGGCGTCCAGGCAGGGCCGAAGCGAGCGGGGAGGATGGGGGGATGAGATGAGATGAGATGAGCAGGTGCAGCATTGACGGTGGACGCAACAGCATGAATGCACCAGAGACCAGTTCAGCTGGAGGAATGGTGAGGGGGCATGTGAGCGGCGGGTGGCATGATGGATGTGGGTTCGGCTGACAGGTGGGTAGGTGAGTGAGATGGAGTGCGATGCGAGTTGGCAGGCTGTCAGAATGGGGCCCTTCATTAGTAAACCAGTGCTCATGGCACACTCCCAACACGCCTAGCACGGGCACAAGTAAAAGAGAAGGGGCAGGGCGCCCAGGGGGTGGGGCTGGTCAGAACGGGAAGGAGTGGCGAGGACAGGGAGGGGGCTGACATCGAGGAGGATGAAGACGTCGGGGGAGATGTCGAGGGCCAGCAGCGCCTGCGCCTGGGACAGGCTGCGCGGATAGCCGTCCAGCAGCCACCCCCTGCTCTGCGCGTCCTCCTGTGCCAGCCGGTTCTTCACTATCTGCTCCCATACACGCACACACAGGTGGGCACACAAGCAGACACGAACACACAGGGTGTCACACATGGTCAAACCGCGCCTAGACAACAGCAGCTCTATGCAGAGGCTTATCAAGGCGCTCTTATTCTTCTCTTTCTTCTACTTCCCTGGCATGCGCCGGGTCAAGGCGCTCGTCTGGCACCCCAAACCACGCTGACTACTCTATTGTGGGACTGTGGTGGAGGATGGCAGACACGGGGGAGGAAAGGGCAAGAGACAGACCTAAGTTGCCAAAAACGCTCAGACCTGTTTGCGTTTAGCGGATATCCGCTTGCGTATACACGCAACACGCTATACGCAAGCGAATCCGCTATACGCTCGACAAATTTGTTTTGGGGCAGCCCGGGCGGAAAAAAAATCGAATATATGGAAAGATGCGGAATTTCACGGCGTGCATTTTGCCGAAGGCGAATTGCACGTACGTGACTCGTCCAATCGTGGACGTGGGTTCAACCCACATAGTCGCGATTGGTGGTGTCAATTTTACAAGTCGCATTTTCACGTTCACACATTGTGCGCTCTGTTTGTTACCACATTCAATCCCCACCCATCTACTCTCTCCAACCACTTGTCTCAATGTTCCCTTCTCTCGTTGTGCTATTTAGTTGGTTGCACGCAACTACGCAATTCATCAGTTTCCCGTCTCGTTCATTATGTCTAGCCCGCCATGCACACCGCCATCCGTTCAGACAGTGCAGAGTTCCTGGAGTGTTCAACCTGAGGGTAGGGAGTACCTTCCCGTCATGGACCACGCTGTCTTCAAACATTTCAGCATCATTAAGCGGGTTGAAGGCAAAGCACAGCAGTACGAGTGTAAGTACTGCTTCAATGTTTTCACCGGTGCAGTCATTCGTTGCGCGCAGCACCTGAGCTCGTGGAAGGGAATGAAGCGTCGTGAGGTGATGCTTTGCAAGGAGGCACCGCAAGACGTACGCAAGGAGATGCGCACCAAATACGAAAACCTGGCTGCCGCGAACGAGGAAAAGCGCCGAGCAACATCTGCTGCGGTTGCGGCGGTCCAGGCTGGCGGTGGGAAGCGGCGCATAACCGACTACTTGGAGGGAGATGCTGCTGCGGCTAAGCGGGATGCTCACGAGGGCCTTGCGCTGATGTTTGCGGCCTGCAGAATCCCGGAGATCACCATAAACCACCCGCTGTTCGTCAACGCCATGCTGCTCGTCAACCGCGCCGGCCCCGGCTACGTCCCCCCCAAGAGGAGCTTCATTGGCGGGGCTGGACTAGTCGCTGTCCGCAAAGGGATTGAGCAGGGGCTGATGGGGATTAAAACGAGCTGGAAGAAGACGGGGGTAACAATTGCGTCCGACATGATGACGGACAAATGTGGGAGGGCGCAAGCGAACGTCCTTCTGATTAACGACTCCGGCGCCGTCTTCAAGGAGGCGATCGACTGCGGTATGGAGCGTAAGACGGGGGGATACGTAGCGGGGATTCTGCAGCCGGTGGTGGAGGAAGTAGGACCAGAAAATGTGGTCGCGTTTTGTATGGATGGGGGATTGAACTATGCCGTGGCTGTCCAGGAGCTGATTGCCAAGTGGCCCCACATTCAGCAGGTCCCTTGTGCCACGCATGTGATGGATCTCCTCCAGGAGGACGTGGGAAAGATGGGGTGGGCAAAAGGGGTGGTGGATCGGACAGGGGAGATGATTTCGTTCATGCGCAACCATCATTGGACGCGCGCTTACCTGAGGACCCCGGAGTTGGTGGAGGGGAAGGTGCTGCAGCCGCTGAAGCCGGCGGGAACAAGGTTCGGGACACAATACATTGATGTGTCCCGCCTTTGTGAGTTGCGTAGCACCCTGAACGCGATGGTACTTACCTACAGGTGGAAGGAGTGGGCCGTGGGGTCGCGGAAGGAAGCTGCCGAGACCTTTGCTGCTCGGGTCCTCGATGCCGCATGGTGGCGGACAGCTGAATTCTTCTGCAAGCTGATGAAACTGCCCTACAAGGCGATGCGGCAGACGGACGCAGATGCGAAGGGGATGATGGGCCGGCTTTACGATGTAATGCTGCAGCTTACAGAGGATGTCAACAACCTCTTGGACGAGGATGAGGAGCAGCTGAGTAGCACGGACAAGGTGCAGATCCGTCGCATCATCAAGAACCGTTGGGATAACAACCTCGCCTGCGCCATGCACGTTGCTGACCGAATCCTCAATCCCGCCAACCAGGAGGAGGACATCTTCGGCAGCGACGCCGAATGCACCCGGGTTTTCAAGGCATTTATCAACCAGCACGTGGAGTTCCTCATCGGCCACGACGGGAAGGGGAGGGAGGAGGGTGTTGATTACTTGCTTGCCTTGGGTGACGGGCTGAGGGCTTTCTTGGACCTGAAAGGAAGTTTCGGGATGCCGGAGGCGCTTGCACAAAGGGCGAAGGTGAAGGCGGGTAAATACAGCATGGTGAAGTGGTGGCAGTGGAACGGCACAGATGCACCTCACCTGATGTCTCTCGCCGTGAGGGTGCTCTCTCAGCCTGTATCGGCATCCCCTTGTGAGCGTGGGTGGGGAACTTGGGATGCAGTTCACACAGCCCGCCGGAACCGCCTCGGATCTGCAAAGTGCCAGGACCTGGTTTTTGTTGCACACAACTGGAATGTTGTGCGCAACTGGCACTCGCGCGCAGATGTAATGCCGAACCTTGTGCCAGGGATTGGGGACGAGCCTCCTATCCCCGAGGGGTACAACGGGTTGGATGAGACGGAGGTGGAGGAGGAAGGCGAGGATGATGTGCTGGAAGACGAGTATGCATAGAACAAGGTTTAAGGTGCGGGGGGGCATGTGGAATGTTGCGGGGAGGCTGGTTTATGTTCTCATGTCTTAGTCGTGGTGGTAGGAGAGCATTATTGTAGCATGGCCGCATCGTGTCGGAATCATAATATGGGGAAAAAAAAATCACACAGCCGAAACCCCCAACATACCCCCCCTCAAACATCCCTCGGGCTTTTTTTCCCTTGCCCGGGAAAAGTTTTTTACTGCCCGAAATAGCGTATGGCCAAAGTGACCCCTTAAGCGGATAGCGTGCATACGCTAGCGTATATACGATGAGCGTATATACGCTATAAGCGTATATGGCAACTTAGAGACAGACAATAACGGGTGCAGTCAGAGGGGAGGCGAGGAGAGGCAAGAGAAAGGAGCTGGGAGAGGCGAGCAGCAGCAGTGCTGCGGGTGTGCACCCGCCACCAACGCGGGCCCCCACGCATACCACTCACTCACGCACCCACCCACCCACCCAGCCGCAAGCCAGCATCCAGCACCCACCGTGACAACCACGTCATCAGGCACGAGTCTTCCTGCGTCCATGTGCGCCTTGGCCTGCCGCCCGCCCTCCGTGCCCGCTGCCACCTCCGCGCGCAGCAGGTCGCCCGCACTGATGTGCGTCAAACCGTACTGCTCGCGCGCACCAGCATGCACGGGGAGGCGGGGAGGGGTGACAGGGGGTCCAAGAGAGGGCACGGGGGCAGGGGGCAGGGGGGAAAGGGGGCAGGCATGAGGAAAAGGGGCAGGGGGGCAGGGGGGAAGGGTGCAGGAGGACGCACACGGGAGAACGGGGCGAGGGAGAGACGAGGGCGTGTGGAGTCATACAGAGGTGCGCGGGGGGGTGAAAGGGCGGGTGGATGGAAGGAAGGGAAGAAGGTGGACGGCAGCGAGAAATAACGCACTCGTTCCTGTGAAATAACGCACTCGTTCCTGTGAAATAACGGTGTGTTCAACGCATCCCCTCCTCATTCCCCTCGCACTCTTCTCCTCCACCCAATGCTCCTTCACTCCTTGCCACTGCCTTCTTTCCTCTTTCCCCCATTTTCCCCTCTTCCCTGCCCGCTCTCCCACTCCCCCACCCCTCCATCCCCCCACCACTACCACTCACCCCTGAGCGCGGAGCCCCACCTTGTGCACGATGAGTTCGCACTGCGTGCCCTTGCCCGACGCGGGCGCGCCCGAGATCATCACTCGCAGCGGCCGCAGCGGAGTCCCCGCAGAGGCCGCCTGCTCCGACGCCGTCGACACCGCCGCTCGCGCCTGCGCGCGCTGCAGGGGCAGGGGCGGGGGGGTGGGCGGAAAGAGATGGGGGAGGGGGCTGGCGGGCTGGCGGACCTTGTCGAACGGGTTTCTGCTTGGCATTTTCTTTCTCGCTCGCGTTAGTGTCGGCATGAAGGCCTCTTTTCCCGCCAAGCTTTTGCTGAGTGCATTTTCTGTGAAGCCCGTTCCACGGTGACCGACAACGCCGGCATACCCATCCTCGCCTCTCAGACGCTGCCGTCGCACTCGCTCGCTCAATCGCCCAGATTCGTACGCTAAATCGAATCACATTGCGCTATCCAATGTGCTCCATCCACGTGGACAAATTTGAGAAATGCATTCGTGAAGAGGCATGTCCCGAACCTTATGCGATCGCGTCCGTTGACTCGATTGCGCGGAAGCAACCCTCCGTTCGCCTCCAGCTGTTGATACCATTCGCAGCCCGTTGTGCCTCTGCCATGCCGAGGCAGATGCTGCGGGATTCACGGAAGCGCGCTCGACGCAGTCGTCCTGCGAGTGGCAGAGGCTCGCGGAGAGCGAAGCCGCTGCGGTACTCTGTCTAGCTGCGAGCGACATGCTGACGTGGACTGGGTATGCGTGCAGACGTTTTGGTACAGGGTATGCGTCGTGAGGCCAGGCGATGTGTCTGCGTGAGCTCCCCCGGGCGGACTCACTTGTCCGCTGAGATATATTTGGCAGAGAGGTTGAGGCAAAAGGTGACAGGTGGAGAAGAAACAGGTGAGTGAGAGAGTTCTTCGCCGATCCCCTCAAGTTTCGTCCAAACCGAACCACGGAGAGCGGGAGCTTCGGAAGCGGATAAAGGGTGGCGTGGATGTCGAGATGGCGCGGCTGACGTGGAAAGGAGGCGTTGTCCAATGCATCGTGGAACCACACACACAGATTGGTTTCGGCGGTGCCAAGGTGGAGCCTCGCGCAGTCGCGGCACCTGTGGCTGCCATTTTTGGTGGAATATTCACGGCAAATTGTCAAAGTACACCACGAATTCGATAGAATCGCCGATTCGGTGAAGTCAAAAATAATTGTTTTCTGTGAGGCAGCTCTAATTAATACAGTACCTCGCCCTAGAGAACCGCCAGAAAGGTTGACTCTAGAGAAAGGGTTTTGCACAGAAGTTGGACTGTGAATATGAAGGACCAATCATAGCACGCATATTCTCAAAAACAATGAAATATCTCATTTGTTTCTAGCGCCTAGACCGTTCGTCTTCAGTTCCGATTTGTTCGTGCCCCACAAGACCACGTTGACGTTCAGTGGTTAGTAAATCTGATTCGCCACACATCGCTTGATCATCACGATTCGATTGAACCCAAACTTCAGGCTATAGTATCGAAATGTGACACGAGGTTCTACTTTATCACGTGCTCTTCTGTCGAATATTATGGTGTAAATGCTTCGGGGGCATTTTAATCTTAAAGCTCAAGGCCCAAAATGCGGGCCGCGTTGGGCAAGATTACTAATCTTGCTCATCTGGTGTTTGGGTGCTGTGGATTGGCGAATGTTGGGTTATAGTAGGTACGAATGAATATGATTGTTCGAGACCAAACTGACTGTACAAACTTCAAGTTTCAGTATTTCTCAATTTGGGACTCTGGGACCCAAGCATAGTGTTGGCCCTCAGTTTGCTAACTCAGCAAGGGTTGCGAGAGCTTATGCGAAATAAGCCAACCCCACTTTCTCGACTATGTGTTCACCTCCCAACCAAACCACCAGCCCAAACCCTTGCGCAAGATTACTAAAGTTGCGTGATTTGGGCCTTGAGCTTTAATAGGCAATTAGCCCTTATATCATGAACTCCCCTTTCGCGTCATACTTCATATCGAATGCACTGCCATTCACCCACATCACGGTGAAAGAAAGTCCAAAGCATGAGCCTTCCGATATCTTATGCCTAATATAGGGGTAAATTGTATCGCGAAAAAAAAAAAAAAAAAAAAAAAAACAAGAGGCGACGAAATCGTCTTAGGGTTGCGAAGCGTTTTGCGTAATCATATAAATTTGTACAACTTCAAATTCTGTATATTATGCTGTAGTATGACACTAAGTGGTACTTCATCAACTTGCCAAAGATAAAAAAAATCGCATCAGCAACAATCAAACCGGAGACCTTTCGATTCCGCTATCAGTTTCAAACGACTGCAGCAGCTTAGATGTTTGCATGCAACAACAAAAATAATTGGAACAAAATGTTTGCGACGAATCTGAGACTGCCTTAGGGTTTGTTTGTTCCTTTTCTCTCCCGCTCCTCCTTCTCGTTAGTTGAGCTCCCACCAGACACACGCTCCACCTACTAGTGCAAGGTAAGAACTACCCTAACTTATCATTTTGAGCAAAATTAGATCATTACAAATTAGGTCGACTTGATTCTAACCTAGGACGATTTAGATCTAAACTAGGTCGGCTTAGATCTTGATATAACTCATGTCTTATTTCGAAACCGTAGTTTATTGAACGCTCTCTCTATCTCTCGTTCATTCTCTCTCGTTATCTCTCTCTCGTTCTCTCTCTCTCTCTCTCTCTCTCTCTCTCTCTCTCTCTCTCTCTCTCTCTCTCTCTCTCTCTCTCTCTCTCTCTCTCTCTCTCTCTCTCTCTCTCTCTCTCTCTCTCTTTTCTCTCTCGTTCTCTGTCTCTCGTTCTCTCTCTCTCTTTCGTTCTCTCGTTCTCTTTCTCTCTGTCTCTTGTTCTCTCTCTCTCGTTCTCTCTCTCGCGTTCTCTCTCTCTCGTTATCTCTCTCTCGTTCTCTCTCTCTCTCTCTCTCTCTCTCTCTCTCTCTCTCTCTCTCTCTCTCTCTCTCTCTCTCTCTCTCTCTCTCTCTCTCTCTCGTTCTCTCTCTCTTGTTCCCTCTCTCTCGTTCTCTCTCTCTCGTTCGTTCTCTCTCTCTCTCTCTCTAGTTCTCTCCCTCTCTCGTTCTCTCTCTCTCTCTCGTTCATTCTCTCTCTCTCATTCTCTCTCTATAGTTCTCTCCCTCTCTCGTTCTCTCTCTCTCGTTCATTCTCTCTCTCGTCCGTTCTCTCTCGTTAGTTCTCTCTCGTTCGTCCTCTCTCTCTCGTCCTCTCTCTCACGCTCTTGCTCTCCGTTGTTCTCGCTCTCCGTATTTCGTTATATTCTCTTCTTTTGTTTACTGTCTCGTTATGTGTTTTTCCCACTGTTCCCGTTCCTTACTTTTGTTTTATGCCTTGGTACGTTCTTCTCATTGTTATTTGTCAGCACTAACCCTTCAATACTCACAGCGTTTTTCTTAGCCCTTGTATTGTTTCATTCATTTCTTTGTGATTCCTTTTTCTCGTCATTTCATCACACCTCATACCATTTTCTGTTTTATTTTTACCGACTATTTCTTTCCGATCCTCCTTTCCACTTCCTAAACCCGTTTCTCAGGAGCCTTGCTGGTCAGGAATTCGATTTCAATCTGGAAAATGTGTATTGGTCACTAATAGGGATTTATCATATTGTCCTTTTAACGTTGATTTGCATGTTATTTATTATCGCGCGTTTTTTGCTGGTTTGCCGGTGTTCGTGCTTTTGATTGTGTGAATGTGTTAGCTTGTGTGAGTAACTATGTTTGGTGTATGCGTTTGTAACTGTGTGTGTATACGTATACGTACGAATGTGAGTCAGTATGTATGTATGTACATATGTATGCGTGTATTTGCGTGTATATGTATGTGTAAATTTATACATTGCAATAACAATGCATGTCTGTGATTTCTAACAAAAAGGCTCAGGCCTATCATTTCACAAAAGGTTTATTGGCGCACTCAGTGACTCGTGTGCGACCACTTCGAACTGGATTTGATAGGGATGACCTTTTTTTTAGACTTCACAGATTGTGTTGTTTCATGTGACAGTTGATTATTCAAAATCTTTGCTACTGACCTCCCCCCCATGCTAGGCAGGGGATGGCGGTAGCTTAGTTTTTGGGTCATTAACTGTTACGCATTTTATTACTATGTGCATGCATGTGCATCGTGATTCATGGCATTATATTAAATATTATGCATCCTATAGCATTATTTATGCATCATGCATCTATTTATCATTACCACAACATCATTTAATAGTAAAACATACTAATACAAACAGTATAGCATATCTTCATAAAACCACTGACAAAGAAAAATCACATAGTTTAATATACTGTGAACAGTATTCAAAACTACTCAACATTTTGGGAAGGGTATTGTAATTTACGAAATTTATTTTCATATTTTATAAAAAAACAAATATGAAAATAAATTTTGACAAAATCGATCGTAAAGGGTTGCTTCGCAACCCAAAAAACCACCTACTTCTGCAGACATCCAATACCCAAATCTGAAGGTTTGTCGCAAAATCGTGGCATCCGCTCTATCACGCCTTAGGTCGCTGTTAAAAGGAGAAACGACGGAATGAATGAACTTGACAGAAAATGGGTTCAAATAGCTAACCCTAACATAGGCTAACCAATGTAACACATACAAATTTGACACACCCTCATAGGCTATGTAAAGGGAGCTGTGCGAATCAGGCAAGAAGCAAATCAAGGCGGCTCAACTAGTACAGCCACAGATACAAATTATCACAAAAGCAGTCAACAAAACCAACAAAGCAAGAGATGCAACGCAGGGTGGTACGATTAGCCAACTGCTGAGACAAAAATCAACAAGGCCAGTTCAAGAGTTCTATATAAATTTCACAGGCAGTACAAGACACAAGAGTCAAAGCTACACTAAATGCAGTGTGAACAAGACCAATGCGAATAAAACATGTGGTGGTCACAATACGAGAGAGCCTTGGTGAAGATGTCCGCAATGTTGACCTCTGAGGCCACAAAGACCGAGCGTGCCTGGCCATGTCGCTGCAACACTCGGAGCAGGAATTACCGCAGCTCGGTGTACTTCACTATGCTTTCCAGTCAAGGCTCTCGATGCAGGAGGATCATGGCCTTGTTGTCAGCAAACAAGGTCGCGGCAGAGCTAGGCCCCTCACCTAAGTCAGGGAGCAAGAAAGTTACCTAGCGGAGCTCCTGAGCAGCCATAGCACCGGCGTAGATCTCGACCTCAGCACTGGACGAAGCCACAAACGACGATCGCGTCGACCTCTAG